TGGACAGAGATGAAGACAGTTTACTGGGCCGTAAGTCCGGAGATTAAATGCTGTGTAAACTGAAGAAGCAATGGCTTCCTCTGATGCGGCCAGCAGGAGGACTTCCTGGAAGAGATGAGCCTTTAAAGTTTGAGGGTTGAAAAGGATTTGAATAGGCAGAACTTGGGGGTTGGGTAGGAAATTCCAGGAAGGAGGAGAGGCTTAGCACTGCGGCCTGAGGAACTTGGTCACAACTGGCCTGTGAGTCGGGGGACAACAGAAGGGAGGCCAAGGGAAGGCCTGGAAGACCAGGAAGTTTTTCTCTGCTTTGCTGTTGCCCACGGCCATCCTGGACTACACCCAGGACTCTGCAGGCACATGCACTCCTGCACCTGGCTGTGTTATGAAGGGGTTTCTGGAGGAAAGGAAGGAAGCCAGAGGCCAGCTCAGGGTTGGGGAGTGGCACACCTGAAACACACTGAGAGTGAAATCCACTGCAGACCCCTCAGCTCATCGCCTCATTTCACCCTTATTCCAGCCCTGACGGCAAGAGGAGGGAGGTATTTTCCTCTCATTTTCTGGATGTCACCAAGGCTCCTGGACGTTAAATGCCTTTGCCCAGAGTTGTACAGCTGCCCAGGGGCAGGGCTGGGTTGCAGAGCTGGGGCTGTTGGAGTCCTGATTTCCACTTTTTTTGTTTTTGCTTTTTGAGACAGGGTCTTGCTGTGCCACACAGGTTGGAGTGTGATCACAACTCACAGCGGCCTCCACCTCCCAGGCTAAAGCAATCCTCCTACCTAAGCCTCCCAAGTAGCTAAGACTACATGTGTGCACCACCATGCTTGACTCACTTTGTAGAGAAGGGGCCCCCTATGGTGCCAGGTCTTGAATTCCTGGGCTCAAGCAATTCTCCTGCCAAAGTGCTGGCATTATAGGCTTCCCTGGTCTTTAGAAGCGTGGGACCTAGGAGCTCAATCCCATTACTACCTCCAAGAGGCAGGTGCCCCCAAATATCGGGAAATTGGAAAAGCCAATTCCTTGATTTTGGAATGCCTATTTAATGGGCATTCTGTTTAGTTTGGGCAGTGCCATACTTACCTACATCAAGTGTATTGTTCCGGAAAAGAAGGTAGAAGCATCCAGAGAGATGAGAGGAACTAAATATTTGCTAAATAGGGACAGTGTTGGTTAAAAAAAAAAATTTGCTGAGGATCACCCACCATGAGAATCTCAATGGAGCTTCGATGGCGTAGTCCTGGAAATGGAAGTGGGGGAAATGGACATTTGTGGAGTTGCTGAGTACCTACTATGTGCCAGACACCCACCCCTCCCCTCCCCTCCCTTCCCCCCCTCTCTCCTCCCCTCTTTCCTTTTTCCCTTTCCTTTCCTCTCTCCCCACTTCCTTCAGGGTGTGTGTGTGTGACAGGGTCTTGTTCCGTCGCTTAGGCTAGAGTGCACTGGTGTGACCATGGTTCACTGCAGCCTCAACCTCCTGGTCAATTGATCCTCCCACCTCAGCCTCCCAAGTGGCTGGTACTATGCCTGGCTAATTTTTGTACTTTTTGTAGTGACGGGGTTTCACCATGTTACCCAGGCCGGTTTCAAACTCCTGGGTGAAAGTTATCTGCCCATCCTGGCCTCCCAAAATGTTGGAATTACAGGCATGAGCCACCGTGCCTGGCCAGACACTGTTTTTCTTAACTGGCACTCACAACTCTGAATAGGTAATGTTATGCTCAGATTACAGATGAGGAAATTGAGGCTCAGAGAGATTAAGTAACTTGCTTGGGCTGTGAATGCCAGTCTCTTTCTGCTGCCTCCTGCATTCCTGCACAGGTGCTTGTTTCTGCTCTTACAGCAATGAAGGATGGGGACCCTCAGAGGTGTCCAGCTCAGACAGTCCTACTAGGGCCCAGGTAGGAGGCAGATCATGCTGGTTTTGCTGTTGGATGTGTGTGAATGTCACACTGCTGTTTGGCTCAGCTCCTAATAGACGCAGGCTTGGAAAATTTGCTGCAGAAAGTCCTTCAAAATGCTGTCAATTATTCAAACTAAAGGCAGAGTACTCAGATGGAAAGAGAACTGGATAGGCAGTCAAGATACCCAGGTTCCATCCTGTCTCTGCTCCTGACATGCTATGTGGCCTTGAGCAAGCCTTACTCTAGGGCTCAGTATCCTCACTGCCAAATCAAGATCATGGACAAGGTGACCTCTATGATCTAACTCTAAAGCTTTATAGAGGCCGGGCATGGTGGCTTACGTCTGTAATCCCAGCAGTTTGGGAGGTCAAAGTGGGCAGATCACCTGAGGTCAGGAGTTCGAGACCAGCCTGGCCAACATGGCGAAACCCCATCTCTACTAAAAATACAAAATTAGTCGGGCATGGTGGTGCATGCCTGTAATCCCAGCTACTCGGGAGGCTGAGGCAGGAGAATCACTTGAACCTGGGAGGTGGAGGTTGCAGGGTTGCAGTGAGCCGAGATTGAGCGACTGCACTCTCAGCCTGAGTGACAAAGTGAGACTCTATCTCAAAAAAAAAAAAAAAAAAAAAGAAAAAAGTTATATATATATATATATATATATATATATAAACACGACTTTACAGAAAGAAACAAGCATTCTGAGCATTGGTCACTTAAATAAATTCTGTAAACTGGAACCAGAGCTAAGTTCCCTATCTTGGGACTTGAGCATGTATTTAGAGAAAAGTGACATAGAGTGATTGATAACACGGGAGTGGAGAACTTCAAGACCCACAAGTCCCATCTCAGTAATTTGCAGATGAGGCACAGAGGCCCAGAAAGAGGGAGGTTCCTGTTCAAGGTCACACAAGAGCAGTCGAAGGGGAAGCCCCTCCCCTAGGGAGAGGCCAGCTGGATCAAGAGCAAACAATGAGGGAAGAGAGCCAAGTTGCTAGGAGGCAAAGCTTGATGGACAAAAAAACGTGGGGGCAGACCTGTGTGTGTTTGTGGTCTGTGTAACACTAGGACCTGTTGCCATGGGGATGAGAAAGCACCACAGATTAATTACTGAAGAGCTGGGAGCAAGGGTGGCGCGCCTGAGTGGAGCCCCTGCCCTCAATGTCACCTAGAGTCCATCTGTTCCCCAGTGGAAGACAACAAAAATTATAGGGCTGCTTCTACCTCCAGTGAAGAACTAGTCAGAGTACAGCTATTCACTTTGCTACAAGCCTAATGTTTTTATTTTGAGGGGATCCTGTTTGCCTGTGGCTTGGGGGCAATCATCAGGTTAAGATTTCCAATCACACCCTGGATCAGGCCACCCTCAGGGCAGGCCAGGGAAGTTTGGGTCCCTCAGGAAGAAATTCCAAGTTTTAAGTCACTTATTTTCAATACCTCTTCTTCACTCTTGGGAAATGCTTAGAAAAATGCCTGTCTCCCTCCATGCGGCGGGTTTGATAGCAGCACACAGGCCTTAAGTGACAGCAGGTGCTTCTGTCTCAGCAAGGATGGAATAGTCAGGCCTTTATTTTTTAGTGTCTGGAGCAGTGGAGGCAGTGAGGAAGAATCCTCATGAAACACTCTAGGCTCACCTGGTGGAGCCTTCGGCTTCCCTACTTCTAAGACCAGCAGCAGAAATGGAAAAACTGAACAGTGCTAATGAAGAGGTGAGACCAAAGGAGACATGGGTCACCGAGTGCACCAAAGACATCACCTCTTCAGGGGTTAAATCTGAAGTCTTGAGAAAAAGCACTTTAGGGAACAAATCCTATAACATAAAGGTAACTGTTTCTAAGTATTAGGGGGGAAAGCTGAGATCTTTGATCAAAGACTAAGCCCTGGCTGGGTGCAGTGGCTCACGCCTGTAATCCCAGCATTTTGGGAGGCCGAGGCAGGCAGATCACCTGAGGTCAGGAGTTCGAGACCAGCCTGACCAGCATGGAGAAACCCCGTCTCTACTAAAAATACAAAATTAGCTGGGTGTGGTGGCGCATGCCTGTAATCTCAGTTACTTGGGAGGCTGAGGCAGGAGAATCGCTTGAACCCAGGAGGCGGAGGTTGTGGTGAGCCGAGATTGTGTCACTGCACTCCAGCCTGGGCAACAAGAGTGAAACTCTATCTCAAAAAAAAAAAAAAAAAAAAAAGAAAAGAAAAAAGACTAAGCCCTGGTCACTCCACATCCAGGTAATGATACTCGACTCTAACAGCAAGTTTTGCTATATTTGACATCTGCTGGAGAGATGTATTTTATCTCATCATAGGTCTGTGAAGACACCCAAGTGTTTCTTTTTTCATAGAGACAGGGTCTCACTATGTTGCCCAGGCTGGTCTCAAACTCCTGGCCTTAAGCCATCCTCTCACTTCAACCTCTTGAATTACTGGTGTGAGCCACCATGCCCGGCCCCAAGAGTTTCAACAAAGAAGACAGTAGCCCATACCAACATTAAAAAGTAGACAGTTCATTAAAAAAAAATGGATATGTGAAAACCGTGTCACATAGGAGAATGTCCTGATTCTTAGGAGATGTATACTCAAGTATTTAGAAGTGGTGATATAACACCTCACCTGTAAATGTTTCGGCAGAGAGAATAAAGTACAGTTGACCTTTGAGCAATGTAGGCTTGAACTGTGCGGGTGGATTTTTTCAACCAAATAAGGATAGAAAATACTGCATTTGTGAGATGCAAAACCCACGTATATAGAAGGCTGATTTTCATATATGCAGGTTCTGCTGGGGTGACCTCAGGACTTGAGTATGGTGCAGATTTTGGTATGTGTATCTTGGAACCAATCTCTCTGTGTGTACTGGGGGATGGCTATATATTTAAACGTGTATGTAAACAAGTGGTGAATCCAGATGAAGAATATAGTGTCCAAAAGATGTATTGTTTCAGTTTTTTAAAAATTAAACTTAAATGTTCAAACTAAAAAGTGGGTAACTTTTTCCAGAAACTTGGAATTTACAAACTGGTTGAAGCAATTAAATAGATGGCCCCTAATACACTAGGAGTCCTTCCTAGGTTCAAACACTCCCAAATCAAGATTCCAACATCTGCCAACTGATTTCTCAAAGCTATTATTTATTCTGTACAAGGTTCCACTGTACATTAGACATTCTTCTACTCTTGCTTACACAGTAAACAAGTGTACACTTGCCCTTGGGCTCAGGTTCACAGGTCTTCCCTGGAGAAGGGTGTCAGGCCAGTAAAACTCAGGGTGTCTTTCTCTGATGCCTCCACCTGGGGGCCTGGAACGTGCCAGGCTCCACGGGGCACAAGCCGGGCCCAGCTGTGTGGGTGAACAGCTTTACTCGCTAGGACAGCACAGAGTTTTGTCCAACTATGTAGGGCAAAATTGAGCCCACAGGTAAGAACCATACAACGGAGGCAAGATGGCCCCAAATACCCAGACTCCAGCTCCCAGGGCAGGACTGGAGACCAACGCCAAGAAGGGCTGAGGGGCGGCCTAGGCATCCCTGAGAAACTCGGTCCAAAGGGCCTATTGTCTAGGAGGCTCTGAGAAGGGGGCGGGGGCAGGAAGGCCGGAGGGAAAGGGGTGTTAAGAGAATAAATAAAAGGGGAGAGAAGCTCTAGGGACGAGGGGCTTGTGCTATCCTTCAAACAGCTGGGGAGCAGACCAGGGGTGGGTTAGAGGACGTAGGCGGGAAGAACTTGATGCACCGTTGGAAGGAATCTCCTACCTGCTTTCTTCTTCGCCTCACTGCAATGCACAACGAGCCAGGGCTAAGGGCAGGATCCCTTTCCCGGGCGGGTGTGAACATGGCACTGGGGAAAAGGGAAGAGGCTGAGGGATATTTCAGGGAGGGGCAGTTACCCCCTGGTCCCCAAATGCTATAAGGCACAATTCTTGGAGGCAACTAAATTCCATTCATGACATTAAAAAAAAAAAAAAAAAAAAAATCCCAAACCCCCCAAACAGAAACTTGTTTTAGATCCCAGGTCTACTGTGGCTGTGCTTGGGGCCTGGCCAACGCCCACCTAGCACCACGGCTAGCATTAGAAAAGTTGTACTTGGAAAAACAAAGGACCAGTGCAATGTCCCAGCTATGAAGAGGCCTGAAGGAGAGCACTCCAGTCTGAACACTTTAGTTATGGAAATTAAAAAAAAAAAGTTGGACTTTTTAAAAACCAAAACCAGCGTTTTCCAAAGATGTCCTTTCGTCTGTCCCCTGGAGTTAGCAGCGTGAAGAGGGCTCTTGGCTCATGGGTGTTTTCGGGCTCTGGACCGGCGAGCGGTGCGGGTGGAGATGGGCGCCGGCTCCTCCGCGGCGCGGGCGTCCAGGCGGCGATGCTCCCAGCAAGCTCCAGAGGGCGCTGTCCCCTCGGAGGCGCGGGCACTGCGGCGGGCAGCGGCGCAGCGAGGGCCTGCTCTCCACAGACGCGGTTGTTTCTGACACATAGGAAGCCCACAAGTTTACAAATGCAAACGGAGACGCCGAGGGCACGGGGCGACGCTGGCTCCACGTCCAGGCGATCTTCCCTGCCGGGCCACAGCTCATGAACGCCCGGCTGCTTGCTCCAGACCCTGACCAGGCTGCGTCCACTCCTGCTCGGCAGCTTCAGGTTTGTTTTTCTCGTCAGGTTTGCGTGTTGTTGTTGTTGTTGTTTTTGTCTTTTTAAGAAACTTAGGGAGCGGGGCCACCACGGGGAAGGGAGAAGGGACGTGGCTCCTGGCGCTACATTCGGGAGGGCGGGCTGGCCAGTTCGTAGAAGAGCAGGTAGGCGTCGCTGGTGCGCACTTGGCTGGAGGACATGGGAGTGACGCTGCGGAGAGTGGGGAGTCAGCCCGGAGAGGGGGCAGGACCCGGAGACCCCGCGCCGGCCTCTTCCGGTGCCCCCGAAGCCGGCCGGCCTTTCAGGGAGGCTCCCCACGGGCAGCGGCTTCGTGGCCCTGAACTTTCCCATCCATTCTAGGTGTAAGCCGTGGGGTGGGGGTGGGGGAGGGTGGTGGGGGTGGGGGAGGGTGGTGGGGGTGGGGGAGGGTGGTGGGGGTGGGGGAGGGTGGCTGGCTCCAGCCAGGGGCTCCAGCCCTGCCCTGGCTCTCACCTGGAGTCGTTGAAAGTGTGCCACTCGCCTGTCCCTGGGCTGCGACAGTAGGCTGTATAGTGGCCACCCATGGTGGTTCCGGAGTGATTGGACACAGCATACAGGTTGTAAACAGCATGGTCTGAGGAGGAGGCAGCCGTCAAGCCCCAGAGGCCCCCCTGCCCAGACTTCCTCCCTCCAGCCTCTCCTTCCGCGTCTCTCAGCAGCTGGTGCTGGCAGCGCCCCTTCCTCCTGCCCTCCCTCCGGCCTTGCACACCTGCGTCTTCATTCTGCCCTGTCTACTGGAAGATACTCACTGGTGTTTTCTGAGGCAAATTCTCTTAAGTCCAGGTCTCTTAGGGGGAAGTTCACAAATGTTGTGAGCTTGCTGGTTCGGATCCTGGATTCTGAGAACCGCTTCAGATCTGGCATTGACGTGAGTCAAGGACAGTCAAACCAATGCAGAAGGGCAGACAACAAAAGGAAAGCCTACACGGTCTGTTTCTTCCGACTCTGCTCCCCTCACCTGTTGGCCCCTTGTCATCAGTCCCCCTTGAAAGTCATGTCCCAGCCCTGATGGATCTTAAGGATACGGAGCACCAAGATCTTTGGGAACCTCTGGATGGAGAACTTCTTTATACACCGTTTTCTGCCTCGGCAGCGACAGCATGTCTGAGAGAGAAGACAAACAGAAAGAACTTGTGGGGGAAGTCAGTGGGCCCCAGTCCAGTCACTCCTCAGCTGGATCTGCTGGTATCAGCCTCTTCCCAGTAGGTCCCATGGAAATTTGTTCTTGCTATTACTGAAGGGTGACTTACTGGCTTTTCATCTCCATCAAGCACATCCTCTTTGGTGAAGAGCCTCATGCAATCCATTAATGTCACCTCAGGATAACCTCGCTGGGAAGGGGAAAAAAGCAAAGGTCAGAGGTCAACATGAAAGGACGGGAGAGGGAGTTCAACAAGGTGGGCAACTGGGGTGCATACCTTAGCAATGGGCAGTGAGAGGTCCCAGAAGGGGTCGAAGACTGTAGAACAGTAACCACAATCTGTACACGTCAGGGAGCTCTTTAGCTGCCCAACAAAGAGATCTGGGGAAGAAGAGAAGGCCATGAGATGCTGAAATACAGGAAACAGAGCATGGGCTTCTGCACAACATCTTTTATTTTTTTTTGAGATGGAGTTTCGCTCTGTCCCCTAGACTGGAGTGCAGTGGCGCAATCTCGGCTCACAATAACCTCTGCCTCCTGGGTTCAAGTGATTCTCCTGCCTTAGCCTCCCAAGTAGCTGGGATTACAGGTTCCCACCACGGCTCCTGGCTAATTTTTGTATTTTTAGTAGAGATGGGGTTTCGCCATGTTGGCCAGGCTGGTCTTGAACTCCTGACCTCAGGTGATCTACCCGCCTTGGCCTCCCAAAGTGCAGGGATTACAGGCATGAGCCACCATGCCTGGCCTGCACAGCATCTTCTTTCTTGCTGTTCCTGCTTTGGTTTGTTGGACACTGGGCAGAAACAGGCTTCCCTGGGAGAGTGATTCTTAGGGCTTTTTATGCTCCACTCAGGCAAGAGCAGGCAACAGTGAAAATAAGCATCTTCTCTTCCATGCGCTTACCCCCGATCCTACTGTCTTCCCGTTCTAGATATTTTCTCCACATCTGTCGGCCTTTCTCGTCATCACTGGGAACCGGAGAGAGAAGACAATTCGGTCAAAGCTCAAAACTTAAGTTTAAGGGTCTGTCAATCTAGATCCTTCATCTTCAAAAGTAAATCAGATTCTTCCCAAATCATTAACCCCAAAGTGGTGGGTAAAAATCTCGAGTTCACAAAAGTTTTGCTTCCCCACAGCATTCTCCTCTTACTTACGGAAGATGATCGAGGTTCTCAGGGTTGGACTTAGGCCTCAGTGTCACTCGGTTCACCTCATTATGGAGCCCATCCAGAAGAAAGCGAAGGAACTCCTGAGCGTCCTGCTGACTGAACCCAAAGGAAGGAGGGTGAGCAACACCTCTTATCCTAAGAACCTGCTCCTGCTGCCACCCACCCTGGAGGACATGTCTGCAAGGCCCTTACTTATAGCCGACAAAGCGCGGTGCGTATCTCTGGATCTGGGTCTTGAACTCAGATGGGCTCACCACATCATTGGGGGATGAAGTCCATATGGTCTGAATTAGTTTTGCAAACTCTATTGGAAGGAGAGAGTGTATAGGACAGCTAAGATATTTTCTATAAGAAACTCTGAAACTAGAATCCCAACAAAAAGCAAGCAGAGAAAGAAAGACAGGATAGGAGTGTCTAAGACACAACTCCTAGAACAGCCCCAGTGGAATGGAGGACCATCCAGGGGTAGGCAGGGGCATGTGACAGAGGGCCCCTCACCTTCCATGAGGGCTGTGTGTGCATTGCTGCTGTGGTGCAGGTCCCGCATGTAGAGCCTCTGGAGGCAGTAATCTCTCAACTCTCGGGTGTTGCTCAGGCACTGCAGAATTGAGTTCATGAAGCACTGCAAGAGATGACCAGGCAATCAGTGGGGAGATGAGAGTCCCACCTTCACCTCTGTTACTTACTACCAGAGGCTCTCTGGTTCATCTACCTAGAAATGAATCCTTTCATAGCCTCAAGTTCCTTTTTTCATAAGTGAAAGGGGTGAAGTGAGGCAAATCCCCACTCCAGGCATAGGTAACGTAATTGGTTATTTACTATAGGGGTGCACAAAAGGGCATGGACGCGACGGACAGAAGTGTGTGGGAAGTGATGGGTGTCCTTGAGGGGAAGGATCCAGGAGAAGAGCAGGCTGACGGGTAAAAGGGCAACTCCCTTTTAGCAGTGCTTCCTGCTGGGGATGGGTAAAGCACAGCCTAGCAATTCTGTGAAACACCAGCCGGCAAGGGCGAGTGCCAACTGGCTAAATGGGTAGGGAGTCAGCCACAACCAGGAGGGAACTCTGGTTATATGGCTCCAGTCAGGATAGTAGGGGGTGGGCCTGGGGAAGAAGCAGGCCAGGAGGAACTCACCGTGTTCCCAAGGTTTCGAAGACCAGCCAGACCCTGGGCACTCTTAGAATTCTGCAAGCAAAGAACACATGGCGATAAGGTAGAAGCAAAGATGATAGGCCTGTGCTGGGCTCTCCTGTTCAATTTTCTAACCAGCTGGGGTCACAGGCAGCAGGCCACACATAATATTCTTTCTTCAACTTTACCCGTCTATGTACTTTGTAGGAAAGAGGATTGAGGAATGCCTGTTATTTTCTTTCTTTCTTTTTTTTGAGACAGAATCTCACTCTGTCACCTAGGCTGGAATGCAGTGGTGTGATCTCAGCTCACTGCAACCTCTACCTTGTGGATTCAAGCGATTTTCCTGCCTCAGCCTCCTGAGTAGCTGGGACTACAGGTGTGTGCCATGACGCCCAGCTAATTTTTTGTATTTTTAGTAGAGATGGGGTTTCGCAATATTGGCCAGGCTGATCTTGAACTCCTGACCTCAGGTGATCCAACCGCCTCGGCTTCCCAAAGTGCTGGGATTATAGGCGTGAGCCACCGTGCCTGGCCTAAATGCCTGTTATTTTCAACACCCAACAAAAATATTCTTCAGGGCTTTGCTTTATTATGTATTGACTATGTATCTCCCTGTCCCCCATATTTATGTTATTCTCCATTCTCTGCTATAGTGGAGACTGGGAATTCACATATTTGGTACATATTGACTCCTTACTATAAGAAATTTCGAGTCCCAAATCCAGGTGCTATCTCAAATGACCTATATTTGTACTCCTAGAAGTCCAATATATAAAGTAGCTCTCATAATAGACACTTTGAGGAGGTTTTGAAAAGTTAAATAACAAAACACCTTGAGTTTCGATCTTCAGTTGGGAAAAACTCAAGCAAGCCTGCCATTCTGAATTGCCAGAGACAGGTGAAATTCCTTCCAGCTGAGATCAGCTCCTAAGGGCTGATTAAAGGCTGGGAGAATCCTCCCTGCCTGGCTCAGGTTTCAACATCCTGACTGGCCACCGGCTGGGAATCCTGGAGATGGCTGATTGGGCCCGCAGAGGCAAGGGCCTGGCTGAAAGTGCCACTCTTGCTGTTGGCCCTATAGCGGAGGCGGGTGAGGGGGCTGGAGAGAGAACAGGTGCTGGATCGAGGATTCTGAGCTTATTTGTCAAGGTCTCTTGGCTAATCCTGGGCATATCTCCAAGGAGTCAGAAAACCTTCAGGCTCAAAGGGTTAAAGAAACAGTTTGCAGATGAGTCTGCCACCCCCTCTCTCAGGGAGGGGACTGGGAGCAGGCAACTCTGGAGCAACACTGGGGCATGCGTGGGGCCAGCTCAGCCCTGATCAGAACAGGAGCCTGAAATAACTCAGCTAAAATTACTCATGCCGTGTGCTGACAGCCTATGAGGCTGTCAGCAGCTCAAAGCCCATGAGGTTGTCAGCTGGGGGGGGCGGGGAGGGGGGTGGGTGGGGGAGGAGTAGGCTGAAGGAGGGCTTTTCTCAAGAACTGCCTTACCGATCCCACAAGTAAGAGGATCCCTTCCTGGCCAGCTGTCAGGGCTAGCCCTAACAGGTAGGGAAAAAAAATATACCCAGAAAAGAGACCCAGTTTAAACCTGCAGCTAGAGAGAAAAGCCAATTGGCAGCAGGTGGGATATAAGCATCCTTGGAGAACTTGGCTAGGGCTGGCAGTATATGGCCCCAAACAACATCTGAATCTGACTTATTGACAGTAACAAGAGGGCCGCAATAGAGATAATTCCCTGGGACAAAGACCTTCTCAGCATTTTCCAGAATAGGTGAAATGCTGCGAAAGTCTCCATGTTGCCCACTCGGAACTAAATGTTAAAGCTTGCCCCCAACAGAATACCCACCCTTACGTCTATTTTTGGCAGTGCTTTATTAGTTCTTAGCCCCCGTGCCTCAGATGACATCTGTCTAAACAGGCTGCAGGGGAAAGCATTCTACCACTGGTGACCATGTCAATGTTCACCAAAGCAGGCCCTCAGCTGAGACAACAGTCACTCAGCGCTAATGGGGGTGGGGAAATGGGAAAACGGAGTCATCTGTCTACAGAAGCACTCCTGTGGTGTTTTAAGATGTTGACACTTAATTCTCACCCAGCAGTGAGGGGCAAGAAGGACACCTTGTCACCCACGATTACTATTCTTGACGATCTAACCCCTCTGTTGGCCTGGGGAGTGGGGAGATGGGAGAAGCTCCTTTAAGGCATCGTTAGGACCCTTAGTTGTTATGTTTTAGGGTGGGAGTTGATGCCTTTGTCTAAAATTTCCTGAGCTGAAAACCACATGCCAATTTCTAGGTGCTCTGTGTAGAAGGTGGGTGGATAACAGGAGTGGGGGCGACAGAGGATGGGGGAGCGGGGCTGCTCTATGCCCAGCCAGATATTCTTCTGCCAAGAATAGGAAATCAGGAGCTCCAGGGAAAGTCAGCACTTTTCATTTCAGAGGGGAACAGAATGTCCCCAGAGTGACCTTTCTTACAGGACAAACAATCCTACCTCAGGGTCGACAGAGAGAAAAGGGGCTAGAACTTCAGAAGGTGGGAGACCCTGCACAGCCAGCCTCTTTTGGCGAAAGCCAGAGAAGGGAATGACCCCAGGTGTGTTATACTGGGACACATGTGCAAAGAGTTGAGAAAGTTTGGACCCAGTCTTCCTTCCGCTGAGCCATCAGCAAACCTAGTTTTGACTCAGTAGCAAGCACTGTTGCAGGGAGCAGATGGCACCTCCACCGTCAGCAAATAGCATTCACCTTCTAGAGGAGGAGCGGGGGCTCAGGAGAGCCCTGCCTGGGTGAATGCGGAGGTAGCATCTGGGCACCCTTCGGTAGGAGAGGCCGAGGTTTGTGTCTTCACACTCGAGACCCCAGTCAAGGGCTTTCCCGCCTACCTCACCTGTGTGGTGAGGGTCGCCTCAAGTCCTGGCTGCAGCTAGGAAGCCTGGTGTGGCCCTGGCACGGGGCAGGGCACGCACTGCCAGCATGGGAGCTGGTGCCTGTTACATAAGACCTGTCAAGCTCGGGCCCCTTATCCCTTCCCCAGGCCGCAGCGCCCAGCCTCGGCCCTGGCATTCCCCTGGGGGCTGCTTCCTCGGAGGGACCCGCTGCCCGCTGCAGAAATGGAGAGGACGGAAGGAAGGGGAAGTTACCCTCTGTCACCTGTCTGCACCTCCTCTGCCCTTCACAGGGTCAAAGGACCCCCGTCACCAACCCTTGGGAAAGAGTCCTTGGTGGACAGTGAGGGGGAGGCGGCCCCTTTCTGCCCAGCCTTCCTGGCCGGGGTTTGGCCTCGGAGGAATACCCCCGCAGGGTCCAGCGTGCTGCCCTAGCACACCGACCGAGACCCAGTCAAGGTTATGCTTTCCTGCACCTGTCCTGATAGGTGCCAGGAATTGAGAGGCCAAGAGCCACCACCTGGTGCCGGGGTCACCGAGAGGGAGGGGGAAAGTGGGGCTCGTCGGACATCCACCAGGGGAGGGGACCGCGAGTAAGCGTGCGATCACCTGGGGAGGGGGCATTCCTTGCCAGGAGACCCTGGGAAAGGAGGGGTGGGGGCTGGGAAGAATCCGTCCCTTCACCTAGGGGCGCGTGGCGGGCAGGGGCCAGGGAGAAGGCGGGACCCCAGGCTCTCGGCGCGGGGGTCCCGGAAAAGGGCCCGCGTACCTTGGCTTTGTTGAGCAGGAGCCCCACGAAGGTGGAGAGCAGCAGGGACGGGGAGAGAGGGGAGCGCGGCCGCAGCTCCTTGGCGAGGGCGGGAAAGGGGGCGGCGGGGGGCTCCTCGGGCAGGGTCACGGTGTACGAGGTGCGCATGCTGGGGGGCGGGCGGCGGGCTTTGGCCCTCGCTTAACGTTGGCAGCGGGGGCGCGGGGGGAGTCCCCGCGCGGTGCCACAGTCCAGACGCCGAAGCCGGCGGGACCGCCACAGGACACTGTCCGCGGCGCCCGGAGGTAACCGTTACCGCGGGGCCCGAACGCGCGCTCTTCCGCCTCAACCTCCCCGGCGTGCGCCGCCAACCGCCCGGGTCCCTGCTCTCGCGCTCCGGCCGACTGGCTGCCGAGCCGGCGCCTCGGGCTCAGCGACGTCAGCGCTGGGGCGGGGCTAGGCCCGCAGCCCCGCCCCACCCCGCCTCCGTCCCGCCCCCGGCGCCAGCACGCGGACCCGAACGAGGCAGCAAGGTCGGTCCTCCCCCGCCGGGCCTTCCCCGCGCTCCGCGGTCCCCCCAGCCCGCTGACCCCCGGCGAGGCAGGCCCGCGGGGGAGGCAGGACCGGAGCCCGGAGGCCCTGGCCGGCCTCGGGGTTGAGGCTTAGCTCAGGATAAGTGATCTTTGGGGCCCGTAGAGGACGTCTCCCCAAGACCCAGTGTCAACCGGGTGAACTTCCCCGAAGGCAGCGTTACACTTCCTAACTCTTGGGGGGCTGCAAACCATTTGGAGAACGTGATGAAAGCTTTTCCCTCTTCAGGGCGAAATACGCATATGCACAAGCTTTTGTCTAGCGTTCTGGGGGTGCTCAGGCCCTGGTGAAGCCCCAAATTCATGCAGTCAGTGGAGGTCAGTGGGCCCAGGTTAAGAAGATAGACCTGCACGGCCTAGGGGCTCAGCTGCCCTCCTCGTAACAGTCCTGTCTGGCCTCTTTCAAGAGAGGCAGTGCCCATATTTTATAAGGCCCAATAGGTCACCTTCTCACTTGGCTTCTTTTCTGGTCTCTTCTAACCAATTACCCAGCTCCAGCTCCACCCACTCTCAAATTTGACTTGTTGGGGAGCTGGGAAGAAAGTAATAAATAGTGGGGAAATAGGCGCTCAGCTGGCACGGGGGCGAGTGTTCTACTCTGACCCTAAGCACAGCCATGCTTGAAGATCAGGGGTCTTTAGGCTTCATTTCTGATGCTCCACCCCTCCACCTAACAGGGAAGCTCACGAATCTGCCTAGAGAAAGTGTCTTGTTTGGAGCTTGCTGGCTATTTTTAGCCAGTATTTTTAGCATTTAAAAATACTCCAAGAGGCAGCAGTGTATGCTGTTACTCATCTGTGGGCTCCTTCTGTTCCTTCTGGTGTGCTCATCCCCACATGTACACGCACACATGACCACAGCTACATGGGGACTGTGTCCAGGACACATGTATGGCGGTACCCTAGGCCACCCACAAAGCAGCAATTTCATGCCAATGAGAGAGGAGTGGGGACAGTGGCCCCCTCCCCTGTGTGCCAGCAGTGTGGTGGGAGGAGGGGGCAGGGGACAGGAACCACAGGCAGTCTGCTTGTGATCAGTGAGAGTGGGCATGTGAGGACGGGTGATCTCTACAGTCACTGTCCTCACCCAGATTCTGACTGAACCTGGACCCTGGACAAGCTGCAGCAGCCTTTCTCCAAGCCTCCTTTCCAGCCAGACGCTTTCAAGCCAGCCCTACACCATCTGAAGCAATGTTTGCATCTGATCATCTGATCACAACTAGAGCACCTGCCCTTGCATCCAGTCCCGAAGCCTCAGGTAGCCTTTCTCCAAGGCTGTCTGTCCAAAGGCCCACCACCCTCAGTCTTCTCTGACCACTGCTCTCGACCAGCCTGTGCTTATCCTCTGCTGAAAAACCAAAACTGCCACTCATTAAGTACTTATTAGATCCCAGGAACTGGGTTAAGGGTTTTATATATATTATCCCAGTTAATTTCTATAATAACATCATGCTGTAGTAACTACTACCTCTATTTTATTTATTTTTTATTTTATTTTATTTTTTGAGACAGAGTCTCGCTCTGTCACCCACGCTGGAGTGCAGAGGCATAATCTTGGCTCACTGTAACCTCCGCCTCCCGGGTTCAAACAATTCTCCTGCCTCAGCTTCCGGAGCAGCTGGGATTACAGGTGCGCACCACCATGCCTGGCTAATTTTTGTATTTTTAGTAGAGATGGGGTTTCACCATGTTGGCCAGGCTGGTCATGAACTCCTGACCTCAAGTGATCTGCCCATCTCAGCCTCCCAGAGTGCTGGGATTACAGGTGTGAGTCACCGCGCCCGGCCTATTACCTCTGTTTTATAGGTGAAGGACCTTAAGCCTAGAGAGGTCAAATGAATTTCCAGGACTGCAAAGTTAATAAATGACAATGTGGGGCTTTGTCTTACAGCAAAACCCACGCTTTTAACAGGAAATTCTGAGATGTACTTCTTGCTCTCTGCCAATTACCTACTTGTAAATTCTGCCTAAAATTTGCATCTTCCAAAAGACTTCCCTAATTAACTCCACCCAGCTCTAAACTCTCCATTACTGCATATCCTCAGTCTATGCGCATTCAGTTTGCATGGTGTTAATTTATCTTAATATGTTTATCTTTGTTTTATAAGTGTTTCAAAGAGTCCTATAAATGGTCTTAGATTGCGTGTGGCTTGTCATGGTTGTGCCAGCACACCGAAACCTCCTCAAGGGCAGGGTTGTGGATTCGGTTCTCTTAGTGGGTTCTTAAAAAACGGTGTTGATCTTGTCTCTAAAGAGGGCCAGACCAGGCTCTGCTGGGAATCCTGGGAGTCCCACTAAGCCTCAGAGGGTGGGGTGTGAGTCTGGTTTTGCATGTTGAACACATGTGCTGCTGGGCTTGGGGGGACCTGCCCAAGAGGTGCTCACCCACTATAGCATTTGGCCTGTTTCCCCATGACTTAGACACAGTGATGTAAGCACTCCCACCCAGGACATCTGGGTGTTCTGCTAGCTTGCTCTCCCTCTTCCCTGGGATTTAGGAGGTTAGAGGGGTTGCTAGGAGCAGGGAGGGCCAGAGGCGAAAGCTTTAGTGTGGGAGCACTTTGAGAAGTCTGGGGTGGGAGGAGAGAATCCACACAGGGTCCAGTCTAGTCAAGCAGGTCTGACTGCTGCAGGACACGGCCACAAAGGACCTTGGCTCATCTCTCAGCCAGCCAGGTCTCTGTGAGACCCTTTCTCTTCACTGCCATTCTTGGAGTGGGATGGATACAAAGGATAGAGGCTTCTGGCATCTGAATCCGGCTCTGGCTCAGTGACTCTCTGTGCTTCAAATACACTAAGCTAATCTGAGCTGGGCTCATTCCTGCATCCGGACTGCTGTTCCTCAGAACCTGGGCTTGGCCTGCTTCCCCTGTAGGATAAGTAATTGTTTTCACCTTAAGTCCTTCCTGGCATGAGATGGAGTGATATAAATGAAAGTCAGGGCTAGCTCTATGAGGGCTGGGACTGAGAGTATTCTGCTTCTCTTAGATCTGCGTGGGCAGCTTGGGCCAGGGTTTGGGGACACTGCTGGGGCTAAGGCAGATGTCTGAAAGCCTGGCTCCCAGCATGTGCCTGCGATTACCACAGCAAATGGACAGACCGGTGGCCTGATTGATTGATGGATGAAAAGGTAGGGGCTCTGAGTCCTTGTTAAGGGTTGGGCTTTTGCCCCACAGTGCACCTTGGGGAGAGAGGGTCAGCCTATCCTCCCCACTCTGTGTAGGAAGGTCTGCTTCCCTGCATGACATGGACCCCAAGAGGCCAAAAGCTCTGCACTCCTTTGAGGCCAGGCAGTCTGGCCTGAACCAGCTGGATTCCAGAGGCCCACACACCTCCTTCTTTTGCATATATCTCTGTCCGGGGTGCTGGTTTTATGTATATATTGAGGTGAGAAGGTACAAGGGGCCACGTGTGCAGCTGTGGGCTCTGAACATGGCGTTCATTTCTGCAGCCGGTGGTCAGTGGAGCGGCTCCCCCAGGGGCAAGGAACATTTTGCCAGGCTTGGATTAACTTCTGCATTGCTGAGCCCCACCCCAGCACCACATTAACTCATGAAGACATCCTGGAGTGGGGGTGGAGGAGGAGGCGGGAGGATGGTGCTGGGCACCGATTGAGAAATTGAGCCTGGATAAGGCAGCACCAAGGCTAACAGCCAGGATACAGCCCACAGCCGGTCTGCAAGGGATGGCGACATCAGTGTCTTGCTGATTCTAGTCACAAGCCACAAACCCACTGCCCTTTCCTTCGCAGCAGCTAGGATAGCTCCTGGTCAAGGGGTCCCTCTGGCTTAAGGTCCTTTAGTGACCTTCTCATGCTGCCAACACAGATTCATGACTTCAGGAAGTTCAACCTCCTCAGGGTGGCTGAGTGAACCTGGTTTTGTGGGAGTAGGCGAGGACAGACCCCAGGATCTCAGGCTGCCAAGCTGGACAAACAAGGCAGCAGGGATGCAGGCCAGTATGGCTGCGTGAACGGAGCGAGAACACGAGGAACGAGAGGTGAGTTGTACTTCTCACCTAGGAGCTCCAGGACAGCCCCTGCTATCCGCAACTTGTTCTCTTTGGAGTAACCTCCGCTCACTGCAGGGCAGCATTCAAGTCCAAAGTCCCACCCGAGGGAAAAATCACATGACCTCAGCTTATATAATCTCTCTGTCACTGAACAGCTGGAACCCAAGGCTTCTGAAGATGAGTCAGCAGCCCCAGTGGCAAATAGGACCCAGGTATTCAGTTTCCCAGACCTTTTGCTCCTAGAAACAGGTCCTGGAGCAGAGGGTAAGGGTGTCGAAGAGACTGGGTGGGTGAGAATAGGCTGGGCCAGACTCTGAGCCTCAGCCCTGGCTCTGCGTCCGAGTTGCAGGTGCCCAGCTTGCTGACTGTGCTCTGGAGGGCCCTGGGCCAACCCCTGGCTCTTCTTGGGGAGAGGAGAGGGTAGCCTGGGCAGGGCGGGGCAAGGGCTGGGCAGAGGCCAGCGGGCAGAATGCCAGGACTAGGGAGGAGCAGCTGGAGGGGTGGAGCAGAGGGGGATTAGGAAGGATTGTAGGGGTTAAAGCGCAGCCCTGGCAGGGCTCAGTGGGAACAGCTTGTCCTTCCATAGGCCCTGGGAACAGGAGAGGTGGGGCGGAGTGGGGAGATGACAGGGTTGGGACTGGGGCTCCTGGCTCTCTGCAGGGCTGAACCACCTGGACTGACTTGGAGTCCCCACTGGGGGTAGTGAATGCTTTTTTTTCCACCATCACTTTTCCTCCTCTCTGCATTTTAAGCAGAAGGTGGAGTCTCAGGAGAGGCCCTCGTTATACAAGTGCTGAGCTGCACCCCCCTGGCCTGGCATTTTGTTGGTGCTTACA